GCCGGGAAAGGGCGGACTCCTCGGGGCCACGCGCGGCCCGGGTGGGCTAGGGGGGCGAGACCACGGCCAGGAGCGCGCCCCTCGCCAGCTGTCCTGGTCAGGGGGACCCGCGGGCGGCGTCTGGGGCACAGATACGCCTTTGGAACCGCGCCCTTTGTGCAGTGCCCGAAGCGGCGCGTGCCCCGCACAGGTTGGGACCGTGGGCGCTCACTCGGGGCCGCGGGAGCCGGGGGGAGGGCGCACTCGGCCGCCCCCGCGGAGACTGAGAGCAGAAGCTCCAAGCGAACTTTGAAGTTTCTGTCCCTGACTGGGGCGAAGGAGAGACCTCCTTCCCCTGTCCGCGGACAGCCCCCATCCCACGCCACCCACAGAGTTAAGTCTTCCCAGCGTGGCTTCTTGGTGGCTGGGCGGTCACAAATATTTGTTGAAAACATCTTAACGTATGCAACACATGACAATGGGCATCTTTCCACAAATACAAACCTCATGTAACAAAAAAAGAAAGAAAGAAAAGTACAGGTCAAAAGTAGCAGGCGGAATGCGAAATGCCCCCGTGGGAAAGCTGCGTGTTGGGGCGTCGTGCTGAGCCGCGAGCTGTGCAGAAGCGCGGCCGCCCCATTCATTCAGGCGTTCGCGATGAAAGCGCTGGACCGAGGCTGCAACCGCGGCTTGAATAGCTGCGCGTCTGCTCCGCGCGGGCTCGGGGTGGGAGGGAGGCGTTCACTTCGCTATCGGGGAGAAAGGGGCCGGCCCCTGGGAAAGGAGCCTTTGACGGTGCCAGCGGAACTCGTGTCTGTCAGGTCGCTGCGAGTGAACGAGTCCCGGTTTCCCACAGGGTGGAGAAAGAGCAGCTGGCCTCGCTTATTGTTCCAAGAAATTGAAAGTCCGAGGAGATGCCCTGAATGTTTTCCGTGCCCCCCAGGGCTCCGCACTGGGCGGGGGCGGTTATGAATGGTGTTTGGAGAAAGTGGGACCACATGGGGCTTTCCTGCTAGGAGATGCCGCGGAAACCTCCCGTGGCAGGAGCCTTTGAGTCCCTCACCTCGAGTTCCCTACTTGCTAGTCCCCACCCCATCACCACCAACCCTCCTAACGACCGTCCTTGAGGGAGTTTTGATGTTTTTAAGAAATTATTTTGTGCCCCATTGTATATAGCATGAATAATTAGTGAAATAGTGTATTTGATCCTATTATATTAATCCTGACCTGCAAATCATCTGCTAAGTTAGCTGTCTGTTGCTTATATTTTTGCAACCGATCGTTATCTAATAACATTGAGATTGTTCGACGTTCTCTTTCATTTCCACAGCCTCTCTGGGTTGCCTTACAACTCACAGTACATGACCCAGTGGTTCACTTTTCTATGAAAAGTAACCTGTTTAAAGTGAGCTGTTCCTAAGTAAGGTGCTGTGTTTCCAAAAATAATGATGTGTTAATGTGGCAATTACATAGAATTATAGTTGCTTTAACTATTTCGTTTTAAACCATCCCCCCTTTTTTCTAAATAAAAACCAGTCAATTCCAGCTATAGGAAAAAAATCTAAGAGTAGAAGAAAATTCGTTTCATTCCCATAGATGACATAGTATTCAAATTTAGCAAGTATGTACTCCACAGTAAAGCGTGTGCGCATGAATGAATTTCAAAGGTGCATTTTTCATTTTTATAGCTGTGTGTTCTCCAAGTAAGGAATGATAAAAAGTATTGATTGCAGCAGCTGGAATCAAGCATATATGGAATAGAAATATGACCGCCCACCTCCTACATATCCCAGACTTTAGCCCATTCTTTTTTTCTTTCCTCTTTTCCAGACATTACCTATAGAGCCTGCATTTGTAGTTAATCAAGCATGATCGAGAATTCGAATGCAAGAAGAATATGAAATAAACACATATATTGTTCTTCAGTGTCTTGTGCCACTCTTAGAATTACACTGCTTTATAAACCAGTATCATAAAATGTTTATGCGACCACTTATTTCAAGGTAATGATCCCTGAAACACGCTACCATTTTATAATAATTCATTCATAAAGTCCTACAGATATTCATTTTCATTTACAGTAAAGTTTATGGGGAAATTACACAAGCTTTATCTTCAAGCTTCAGGTGTTTAATTATCTGTCTTTACTACTATGGCAAGTTACTCAACCTCTCTGTGCTTTAGTTTCACTGTCTGTGAAATGGGAATAATATCAGTGCCTATCTGGAAAGGTTGTTAATGATTAAATGAAAACTGCAAGAAAAGCTGTTAGCATAGTGCCTAGTACAGGATTAGCCCTCAGTAAGCATTATCTACGATACCATTATTACTATTTACATAGAACTATGCGTGGGGGGGCCCTTTTTCAAGCTATATTTTCTGGGATGTATAATTGTTTAGAAATTGGGAGTCTGGACTTAGAATCAAATAGTCTTGGGCTCAAATGCTAGACCTGTCACTTTGATTAGCCACGACAATGGTTAAGTTTCTTAACCTCTCTGAATGTCAGTCTTTCTGTCTATAAGATGGGTAGGATTGAGAGGATTAGGTAATGTGTGAAAAATGCGAGCACAGTGTGGGGCGGGTCACAGGCGCGCGGTGCATGGTGGTCATTACTGTTGGGCTTGGTCATCACCCTGGACACCCCCCCTCTTTCACTGCCCAGCTTCTTGTAGTCATTAGCCCTGTTGATTTTACCTCCTGAAAATCTCTGCAACCTCTCTCCCATTTTCTTAATCCCCACTGCTAAGCAGGCTCAGGAATTGTTTGTTTTTCTGATGAAATGTTGTGATAGTTAACTCACATGCCTCCCGTCTCACCTCTTCTCCCTCCTCAGCAGTGCCACCACTGTGGTTTTTCTAGAAACACCATTCTGATAACCACTCCCACCCTTGTTTACAATTCTCCCCATTTCTCACCACTTCTTCACCTAACTACTTGATACTCCTCAGTATGACTTACTTTCCTTCCTTTGTGTCTGAGCACGTGGTCTTCCTGCACGGAGTGCCCTTCCACTCCACGTCCTCCTCCTGGGCCTACCCTGTGGGTGTAAACTGTGTCCTAAACCCCTCACTTTATAAGATGCACACACAAAATGACAATGTCCTGCTGCATTACACTGGGGGAGAACCGAGGAAGCTGGGTGCCCAGCTGGCCGGCCGTCTCAGAGCTGAGGGCACACCTGCACCTGTTCGTAGCTGACCAGTGCTTCCTGGCACACAGGCTGTTCAGTGCTGAACAAGTCTCCTGCTAGGGCTCTAAAGCCCTGGAAAACCTGCCTGGTCCTCTGGATGCTGAAGTATTTGTTAGGTGCCCTTCCCTGCAGTGGTCCCCAACCTTTCTGGCACCAAGGACTAGTTTCATGGAAGACAAATTTTCCACGGACTGGGGGTGGGGGCTGGGTGTCATGAGTAGGGGGAGGGTGGTGCAGAGCTCAAGCGGTGATGCATGGCCTGTTTCCGAACAGGCCACCGGCCAGTACTGGGCCTAGGCCCTGGGATTGGGGACCTTGGCTTCCCTGACTCCCAGGTCTCTCCCCACTTAATGCTAGTGTCTTGCTTGTATTGGTGTGGATAATTGGCTTGCTTATCTGTCTCTCTCACTAGCTCAGGGTTCTTAAGGGTGGGACAGGTTTATTCATATCTGCTTGTTCATCGCTTTGCAATGTTCCTAGCAGTTAATAGCCACTTTATTTAGTGGGTATATGTAATAATAGTGGATATAATAATAATATCTGTAAGAATCAAGTAACTTTTAAGAACATTTTAAATGTCCTTCATACAAACTTCAAAAGGTGCTAAAGGGTATTTATTCAGGAAAGTTAACACTTGACTTCGTCACCCTCTTTTGGGGTAACTATTGCTTTTAGTTTCTTGAGTATCCTTCCATAGGTGTTTCTTCATGTAACTTTTAAAAGTAAACTACTTCATGAAATCTACTTCTTTCCCTAATAGGGTGAGAGAGGTCCCAGTTATTTTCTGACAAAACAAGGACGCATGGTTAACAGGGGGCAGCGTCCCCCTCTCCATAGCCCCCTCTGCACACATCTTCAGTGGACCTTGTGCAGGGTATTAACACACCGCTTAACGGACGTATGTACTTGTAAACTTTTCACCTCCCAACTTGTCCCTTCCAAGTAGGTCTTTGACAGAAAGGTGTGGTTAGAGCAGTGTTTCCTAGATCTTTAGGGATTTAAAAACTCGATTGTCAGTTGATTCCATGACATTATACTACTTCTAAAAGTATTATTTACCATAGTATTAATAAGCTGTCTTTTAAGCCATAAGGAATTTTTAAAAATATATTTTAAAACTTTATGATTTATGATATAGAGAAGTTGAGTTTGAGAATAATTCTATTAGAAGTTAAGGATAAGTTAATAAGTTTACCAAGAGGTATGATTTGTTACTGGAACACTAGGGCAGACACAGAAAAACTTAATTAAAAAAAAATTCCTAATGAATAAAGTTAAGCCTATACCTTGAATACAAAAATTAACTGACAGCAAGTAGATAGAACTCTGGAACTTAGACCTTAGCTGAAGTTTTTAGTTACATTCCTGAGAAATGTTTGGATGAATAAGATAAACTATAGCCTCCTAAGAATGATGTATGTAGCTTATTTGCATGTTTGCAAATAATTATTTCACTTGTTTTATTTCTCAATTATGCATCCATGGACAATTGAATAAATCCATGCATTGCAAAATTAATGAGGAGAAAAAAATCGTTCATAGAAGTAATTTAGTTAAGGTCATGAACTTTGGTTCTGTTGGAACATGTCTGTCAGGGAGCTATTTCAGCATAAAACATCACTCCATAGCTGAATTCATTGTATTTCCATGTCCTTTATACTGAGGGTGACAGTCACTGCCCAGATTAACCATTTAATAATAAAATAGCACAGAATCCTTCCATTTGTGTCTTTGTTTTCTCAAGGCTGACTCAAGAGAGCTTTCTTTGGGTTAACTTGCTCCCAGCCTTGCTTGGGGGCAGCAGGCAGACAATGGAGGCAGTGAGATTCCAAATCAGCTTGGTGAATAACATTCTTGCCTAGGTAAGCGTTTATCTCAAAATGTTAATTCAGAAATGGTGGCAGAGAAATACCACCACGAAATCACGAGCATGATTTCAGTGTGTGTGCACATTTTTTTTTCTAGATCAACCATTTGAAGTTTGAATTTCTTCATTCCAGAAGTTATCTTTGAAGTCTGATCTGTTGGCCCAGCAGGCAGTATGACTTAAATTCTTGTGCCAGAGAACCTCCTATATTGCTGGTGGGAATGTCAAATTTAGATCAATGAATATTTATGGAAAGTGCCAACTTTTCTCATTCCCAAAAAGTATTTCCTGCATTTTGTTTCATTGCTCCATGATTTCCTGCCAGAACCTCAGGAAATTCTCTGTAACAATAACTGTGTTAAAGAAGATGCTTCAGTTTAGCAGATCATTTTTAGTTAAAAGAAAATATTCAGAAAGAAAAAACCCTCATAACACAATGCTGATTATGATACACCATACATTGAGATGCCTTCCAGCCTTTTAGTAATGGCAGAATTTTACCCACAGAAAGTGATTATCTTGTTATCTCAGGCCCAGGACAAGGAATTCTTGCCCTCCCCAGATGGCGCCCTTCCCGTTTCCCCCCATTCATGACATTCTTTCGGTTACCTTGGCTTCCTCTTCCTTTTCTTTCCTTTTTGGTATCTCCTTAACCAATTTGTCTCTCTGAATTTTTGTTTCCTTCTTTAAAAATTTCTTGATTTTTTTTTTTTGTTTTTCTTTCTCTCTATTACCACTGCAAAGGATCACCAGCTGTCTAAACCGGCTCTAAACGGTAACCAGCCACTCTTAGCAGGGTCCCTGACAATAGCTAATGTCCTTTCAGTTAATCTAGGCGCGCACT